AACACTTTTCTGGAATAATATTACAATTTTGCCATTATTTGGGATTATATTTTCAATGCAAGCATAGGTTTCCCTTAAAATGTTGATTTTTGGATTTGAGGTTTGCCAGTTCATGAATAGCATTAGAATATCCCCATGGGCTATGCCCAGGCCAATTCAGTGTCTCAACTTGTTGCTTTTAAGTGGAGAGAATCACTTGTAAGACTGTGCCTCAGGATACTAATAAAAAAGGTAGAGATGGGCTGGTATTGTGGTGTAATGCATAAAGTTGGTACCTATAGTGCCAGAATCCCATATGGGACTGGTTCAAGTCCCCGATGTCCCCTTCCAATTCAGCTCTCTGCTATGGCCTAGGAAGCAATAGAAGATGGCCCAAGTGCTTGAGCCCCTGCACCCATGTGGGAGACATGGAAGAAGCTCCTGGCTCCTGGCTTCAGATTGGCACAGTTGTAGCTGTTGCAGCAATCTGGGGAGTGAACCATCAGATGGAAGAACTCTCTCTCTCTCTCGCCTCTGCCTCTCTGTAACTCCGCCTTTCAAATAGATAAAATAAATCTTTAGAAAAATTTTAAAAGGTGGACCTGCCAACAGAGCATCTGTTATCACATTTGTATTCCAGTCACCTAGAAATAGAAATGGCCTTTCCATATGGTTGAAGTGTCCACTTTGAATGGGCACAAGATGAGATAGGAATTGAATGTAAATCCAGTTAGAGTCAGCCAGAAAAAACTTTTGTGAGTTGGGAATTCACAGAGATTAAAAAAAAAAAAAAAGACTGAGGGTCACCTGGAAGGGAGAGGATAATGAAAAAGTAATGAAAAGAGAAACAGAATCTGAAGCTACCATATCAGACAACCCTGAAGCTCTGTACTAGTGGTCTACATTAAGAAGGAATTCCAAAACTAAGTTGTACTCCAATTTCTATTGCCAAATGTGAGGAAATTCCAGGAACAGAAGTAAATTAATGATAAAGGAAACAGAACACTCCAGATAAGAGGGTGAGCAACCTAAGAATAAATGATTGTTGCAATACAAGATTGGGTGTTTTCCCTTTCTAGAGTTGGGATGGTTCTGAGGCATTCCTAATCAGTATTCCAAATGAGTTGGAGTTTTGGGTGGTATTTGAATGCTGCTCACATTTATTTCTTTTTGGAAAATCTCGGACTGCCAAAGGTATTAGTTGGATGTGTTCCTATAGAAACACATGGAGACTGAACAACATGCTGCTGAAAGAACAGTGGGTAACAGAATAAAATAATAAAAAATTTCTAGACATAAATGAAGGTGACACACATATCAAAACATATGCAGTTACAGGAAAAGTTGTGTAATAACTGGTGTAACAGTTGGTGCTACATAGAGAAACTGAAAAGTAACATTAAAGGAGCTATCTATTGCATCCCAAGAAACTAGAAAAACAATAAATTGAAACAAAAAAATACAAAAAAAAAAACCCCAGTGAAATGAAGAGCTGTTTTTGAAAAAAATAAACAAAAATGGCACACCATTGGCACACTAACCATAAACAAAAGGAAAAGACCCAAATCAACAAAACAGACAAAAAATAAATATAACAGATACACAGAAACAAAAGTGTCATCAGAAATTATTATGCATGGCAATAAACTAGGAAACCTAGAAGAAATTGATAGATCTCAAGAAACATACAACCTATGAAAAATTGAGTCATGATGATATAGAAAACCTAAACAGACCAATAACCAAGATGGAAACTGAATCAATAATAAAGACTCTCCAATAAAGAAAAGCCCAGACCAGATGGTTTCACCACTGAATTCTACCAGACATTAAAGCAGAACTAATCTCAATTCTTCTCAAGCTATTCGAAACAATTGAAAGGAACCCTCCCCATCTCCTTTATGAAACCTGCATCACCTTAATATCTAAATCTGAAAAAGATGCAATCTTACACCTTAAACAAAAATCCACTCAAATGGATCAAAGACCTAAATCTATGACTGGAAACCACCACATCATTAGAAGCATGGGAAAAACTCTACAGACATTGACACAGGCAAAGACTGCTTGGAAAGGCACCCAAAACATATGCAATCAAAGCCACAATTGACCAACTGGGATTACATCAAGCTGAGACGCTCCTGCAATAAAAAAGAAATACTCAGCAAACAGAAGAGACAACCCATAGAATGGGAGAAAATATTTGCAAATTATGCAACTGAGAAAAGGTTCACATCCAGAATCTATGAACAGCTAAAAAAATTCAACAAAACAAACAATCCCATGAATAAATGTGCAAAAGACTTAAAAATGAGTTTCTCAAGAGAGAAAATTCCCAATGGCCAACACATTTTTGAAAAATGCTCAGGATCACTAGCAACAGGAAAATACAAATCAAAACCAGAGTCTCACCTCACTCCAGTTAGAATGGTTTGAGTACTGAAATAAACAAATGACAAATGCTGCAGAGGATGTGGGGAAAAGGTACCCTGATTGATGCTTGGTGGGAATGTAAACTGGTGTAACCACTGTGGAAAACAGTATGTAGAAACATCAGAAAGCTGAATATAGACATACCATATGATCCAGACATCCCTCTCTGGGAATTTACTCAAACCAAAGAAATCAGCATCTGAAATAGTTATCGGTAACCCCACATTCACTGCAACACAACTCACAATAGCAGAGATACAGAGTCAACCCAAATATTTATCAGCTGTGGAGCGTATAAAGAAATTATGGTGTATATACACTATGGAGTACTACTTAACTGTAAAAAATGTGAAATCCTGTCTTTTACAACAAGATGGTTGCAATTAGAACCTATTATAATTAGTGAAATAAACCAACCTCAAAAGACAGATACCATATGTTTCTTCTGATCCAATGTAACTAATAGAATAGTTGAAATATAATGTATTGGAGTGAAACAGACATTTTGAGGTCTGAGGACTGTTTATAGCCCTGCCTCTTCCATTGAGTAACAGTATTTCTTTACTTCTGTTCTGTATTGTTTCTCTCTCTCCATACTACATGTTGAATGCCTTTACCTAGAGCAGGGTTAACTATATGATCATTAAGTATACTGGAAATAGATTATGGTAAAATTAAGACTGGGTATCTCAGATGCAGGGGCAGGAAGGATTGTACTGTGGGGGGAGGGAGAATGCAGGGAATCCTACTATAGTTCTCAATATGTACAATATGAAATACATGAAACTTGTTTAACAAATAAAATTAAACATAAATAAAAAAGTAGAAATAGGAAAAGCACAGAAGCTGGAAAAAGCAGCAGTCTAGAAGACATACACAAAGTAAAGTTTGGGATTCTGCTGGCTTCAGAGACTCATGACTACAGGAGACTCACTCCCTACCCTAGGCAAAATACTCATTATCCAAAGCTAAAAATAGAGCATATGGCTCGTAAATGAGTGAGGTGATGTGACTGTGATCATAACACTGTTCTGTACCAGAATAATGTAGGGGGAAAATCATAGGCAGACAACACAACATCTGCATCAAGTAACTTTGTAAATGAGAATGGCACCTTAAGTAAATATTATAGGCAATATTTATTAACACTCACATGTGAAAGCAGAGCTCATTTCCACTGTCCTACTCACAGTAGGGAAGCTAAAAATGCAGGTTGTATGACACAAAGGAAGATGATTTTGAAGAACATATAGCAGGTCTTCATACCTTGTTACTTCCTCCTGTGAAAACCCTAAAATCTGTTGAAGTTTGATTTGCAAAAACATTTTTTCACATCCAATACATGTATACAGTGCATTCTTTGCAAAATTCAGTAATTTTTGCTGAAGATTGCCTTTGAGTAAATGGATTTTCCACTTCCATTGCAGTGTAGAGATTTTCCTCTGTAAGTTCTCTGATAATAACAGCTGGCCTATGGTAGAAAATTTTCATCTATATCCATGTATCTTTTCTCCTGTGATTTCTCTCATGTGTGCTGAAGACTTCTGTCAAAGTAATTGTTCACAAAGATTCCATTATCATGGTTTTCTTCTTTGTGTGAATTCTATCATGTATGCTGACATGTATTCCTGGAAAATATGTCCTTTTTATATTTAGTCAATTGAAAATGTTTCCTTCTGTGTGAATTTTATGACTACTGAGCCTTGAATTCTGGAAAAAATGTTTCTACACATTCTTTGCATTTATAAGATTTTTTTTTCCCCTGTGAGCATGCTCTAATGAAAAATTAGTTGGGACTTCTGGCAAAATGCTTTTCCACACATATTACATTCATAAGGTTTCTCTCTTCTGTGAATTCTGATAGTTAATGAGGGCAGACCTGTGGCAAAATGATTTTCAACACATTACAATCATGGTTTCTCCTTTGTATGATTTCTCTTACAGCTAATGAGGGCAGTCCTGGGGCAAAAGGGTTTTCCACAATTATTGCATTCATGAGATTTCTCCCTTGTGTGAATTTTCTGATGTATAATGATACTTGACTTCCAACGAAAGGCTTTTCCACATATATTTCACTTATAAGGTTTCTCTGCTGTGTGAATTATCTGATGTTTATTGAGGACTGAACTCTGGGAAAAGGCTTTTCCACACTCATTACATTTGTAAGGTTTCTCCCCTGTGTGAGTTCTCTGATGCATAACGAGATGTGATTTCCGATAAAAGGCTTTTCCACATTCATTGCACTCATAAGGTTTCTCCCCTGTGTGAATTTTCTGATGTGTACTAAGTTGTGAATTCTGGCAAAATGCTCTCCCACATATCTTACATTCATAAGGTTTCTCTCCTGTGTGGATTCTCTGGTGTTTAACGAGATATGACTTCTGATAAAAGGCTTTTCCACACTCACTACATTCATGAAGATTTTCCATGTGGCAATGCTCTGGTCTTTAGTGATGTCTGACTTCTGGTAGATGCTTTTCCCACATTCAATGCACTCAATGAGATTTTCCCCTATGTGAGTTCTGTGGTGGATAGTAAGGCAGGATTTACAGCTGAAAGACTTCCCACAGTGCTTACATATATGGACAGTTTACCCCATATGTGTTCTCTGATACATTGTAAGATCTGATTTGTAATTCAGAGATTCATCATACTCAAAAGATCCATGGAGATTCTCTCCTGCTTTTTGATATTTATTGAGATAGACATTTTTATGGAAATTTTTACTTTCAACCAGAGTTTTGTTTCCTGAAATGACAGTTGATTTATTAGAGGTGTGTTCCACACAAATCCTCTCACATTCAAAGGATAGTCTCTTCCTGTTATAGCATTTCCCTTGGCCACTGTGTTCAAAAGCCTGCTGTATATTCTGAATCTGGTGATGTTGACTAAGATGTTCCAAGTATTGGAGTGAGTTCCCAGTGACATTAGGTCCATGAGGTTTCTCTCCAGCTGGTATTTCATCAGGTCCCCTAGAGAGTAGAACATTCAATAAGTCATATACTTCAGGTTTCTTTCCTAAACTATTTTCCTTTTATATAATCAGGTTACAAATATGTCCTGAGGTTAAATTAAATCTTTTCCTTTTTTTTTTCTGAATTCAACTCTGTTGGGAGTTGAGATACTTTTGTAATTACAACTTGCCTCAAATTTACTTCTTCACTTTTCTGGTTGGTTTTGATAAGGTCATCCTTTCTGTTAGCAACTGCAATGAGAAAAAAGTAACCAAATTCATGAACCATATCAAACTGTTTCTTTTGGAATGCTTGTTGAAAAGCAAGTTTATTGTTATCTTAGTTGCATGGATTTAACATCAGTAGACGTTATTCATTTATGATCATTTGGTGGTTTTTACAATAGTTTTCCCAATATTCAAAAATATTCTTAAGTACCTTAAATATTTTTTAAGTTGGGCAAGTGGGTCAAGCCACTGCTTGAGATGGCTGCTTCCCATAACTGTGCTAGTTTGAGCCTCGGCTACTCTGTTTCCAATATAGGTTGCTGATCATATATCCTTGTAGGCAGTGAATAATGCTTCAAGTGCTTGCAACTCTGCCACTCACTTGAAATACCTGAATATACACTTGAAAAGTCTAGATATCATTGCAGACATTTTGCTTCAGACTGGTCTACTACTAATGGTTCAGGAAATTTGGCAGCAGATCAAAGAATGGAAGATATTACTCTCTCCTGCTCTCACTGACATTCTTTCAAGTGGATGAAAATAACTAAAATAATTTAATTTGTATATTTTCAGATTTATTGGGGCTAGCATTGTGGCGCAACAGGTAAAAACACCACCTGCTATGTCAGTTCAAGGCCATGCTACCCCAGTTACAATCCAGCTCTCTGTTACTGTGTCTGGGAAATCAGTGGAATATAGTACAAGTGCTTGGGTCCCTGAACTCTTAGCTTCACCCTGGCTATTGCAACTATTTGAGGAGTGCACCAGTAGAGGACATGATTCTATCTCTTCCTCTGTGTAACTCTGACTTTGAAAATTCAAACTTTGAAAAGCAGTTAAAGAGAGAGAATAGGAGAGAGAGAGAGATCGATCTTCCATCTGCTGGTTCACTTCCAGATGGCCATAATGCACATGGGCCACACCAGAAAGAAGCCAAGAGTCAGGAACTTTGGGTCTCCCACATTTGTGGCAGGGTTACAAACACATGGGCCATCTTCCACTACTTACCTAGGCACATTAACATGTAGATGGATAGGAAGTAGAGCATCCAGGACACAAACTAGCCTCTAAAGGGGATGCCAACATTGCAGGTGGTATCTTTACCCACTACGCTGCAAGAATATTCTGATAAATAACCATTTTTGAAGGTGGAAAAGCATTTCATAAAAATGTCCACTCACTTTCTAAATGGAATAGTATGTTGAATACTTTCCAGTGGACATTACTTTTCCCTATTATTTTTCTTCTATACACTGCTGTTTGATAATTTGAAGTTTTGAATGTTTTTGATTTCTGTGTTGGAGGATTTCTTGTCAACTCCTTTCAAAGAAAAGCTGAGTCCCTTATACATTTATCTCTTTTCCATTTTAGAATTATATTTTAAAAAAAGAGAGGGTTATTATGGCACAGCACAAGCTACTTTCTGCAATACCAGCATCCCATATTTGCAATGCTAGTTTGAGAACTAGCTGCTTTGCTTCTGATCCAGCTCCATGCTAATGGACCTGGGAAAGGAATGGAAAATGACTCAAGCACTTGGTCCCCTGCCATGCATGTATCAGACCCAGATGGAGTTTAAGGCTCCTGGCTTCAGCCTAGTACAGCCCTGGCCAATATGGCCATTTGAGGAGTGAACCAGCAGAATGAAGATCTTCCTCTGTCTCTCTTTCATTCTGCCTTCAAAAAATAAAGTATATCTTTTTAGAAAGAAAAAGAAAGAGGAATTCTAAGTTCAAACTCTCCTCCCAAACAAACAAGAGCTGCTCAATAAAATTCACAGGTACACTTGTCCTTAGATGTCAATCTCCTGGTGAGCATAGGACCACCAATTTTCATGTTCCTATGTAAGGTCATGCTTAGTATCGTGATTTCTGATGTCACAATACAAAGGCTCTTTTTTTATTTACTTATGGATCAGAGAATGAGAGAATGAGAGCCAGAAAGAATAAGGACAGAGCCATTTCACCTTTTAAATATTTGCAAAACCTATTATTTTCTTATTTATTTGACAGAGACAACGAGAGAGCTCCCATTCACTCGTTTCATCCACAAATTTGAGCAATAACAAGGCCTGTGTCTGTTCAAAGCCAGAAGTGGAAATTCAATTTCAGCAAGTAGTAAAACATTGTCTATGAGCTGGCCAATTAATAAGCACTGAAAGAATGAATAAATAATTGAATAAATGTCACAGAACAGGCTTTGAAGGTAGGAAGAAAGAAAAGTTAGAATTCAGGGGATGTATCAAACTGAGAAAACAGCTTTATAAAAGCCAGAAAACACTTGCATTTTGGTTAATCTAAGAAAATATTCAGCAAGAGCAGGAAAGCAGCTAGATGGATATTTGCAAGGCAGCCTTACTTGGAGGCTGTAGAATGCCTTTGTTGCATGTATGATACCAGCTGGCAGAAATTCTGGGATTTAGGAAAAGTTAGTGAGTAATGCTGCAGTCAGCATCTGCTGAGCTTTCTGTCCCAGTCACCCTGACCAACATGTGCTCACTTACTTGAAAGGCTCTGGTTCAGGGGTTTTTCCACCATCCATGGTTCTGCTCCTTGTTCCAACTTGAAGATCACCTCAGGCTTGTTTATGCAGTGCCCTTTTAATAGGAAATCATGTTTGACTTTGTGAAACCACTAACTTTGGGTTTTGAGGGACAACAGCTTGGGCCCAGAAGCAGTGCCAGAAAAAGGCCAAGTTGAATTGCTTTCTAGAGGGAAAAATTTTTCACGGCCTGAAATCCTATACCAACCAGATATGAAACCTTATAAATTGTTGAATTCTCAACTGAGAAAAAATAATTCTACCTGGGTACAAGCTGGTTTTTACTTACCCAAGGACAGTAGGATGCTATAGATTTCTAGCATCACATCCCTGTATAGGGTCCTCTGAGAATGATTCATGTTCTGCCATTCCTCCTTGGTGAAGTCCACAGCCAGGTCTTCAAATGACACCAACACCTGTAACAGCACATTCATCTTCAACATATCAGTCCTGGATCACTAATCACAAAGACTGGAAGTGGATTTTTCTGAGTGTCTTATTTGCTACTTATATATAACAGTTTCCTCTGTAATCTATATGGCAACAGAGAGCAAAATCACAATGAAACTACCCTACCCTTAAAATAATTTTAAAATTCCAAAATCACAATAGAGTTTCCCTTAATATTCTAGAACTGGGGTTTCTTCTAATGATTCTGAAAGCTGTTCACATGGTAATCAGTAAACATAAGTATAAATGCAAAACAAAACTAGCATGCCAGATGAACTAAAAAAGACACATGCTCAAGATTGACCAAGGTGAAAAGAAAATTCCTTTAAAATAGATTTGGGGAGGGAGCAATGTTTTGTCTCAATGGGTTAAGTTGCTTCCTGTGATGCTGGCATCCCTTAAGGTCAATGTTTAGAGTTATGGCTGTTATACTTCCAATCTGGCTTCCTGCTAATGTGCCTGGGAAAGGAGCAGGAGCTGTTGCAAGTATTTCGGACCCTACCACCCATGTGAGAGACACAGTTGGAGCTTTAGGTTCCTGGCTTTGGTCTGGCCCAGAGCTGGCAATTGTAGTCATTGGAGTAGTTAACCAATGGATTGAAGATCTCTCCTTAATTATGGTTCAAGTAATATAAATCCTTTTTCAAAAATTTAAAGCAATATATTTGTCTCTATTATCTGATTACTGTTCATTGAAACACCAAAGATGGTGACATCTTATGCAAGAATGTGTTTATGTTAAGATGCAACAAGAATAGTGGTAAATAGCAAAGAACACAGGCCAGGTACTGGGGAAAAAAAAAAACTCCACTACATCTAGGTGAGTGGTCCTGGGCTATGATGAGATGAAGACAGTGAAAGTGTTCAAGGAGGGCCTGGCACTATGATGTAGTAGGTCAAGCCTCTGCTGTTAGCACTGGAACTCTGTATGGGTGCCGGGTGGAGTCCTGGATGCTCCATTTCTTTTCCAGCTCTCTGGTGTTGGCCTGGGAAAGCAGTAGAGGATGGTCCAAGTGCTTGGGCCCCTGCACCCATGTGGAAGACCCGGAAGAAGCTTCTAGTTCCTCATTTCTATATTGACCCAGCTCCAGCCATTGTAACCATTTAGGGAGTGAACCAGTGGATAGAAAACCTGTCTCCTCATCTCTCCCTCTCTCTGTAACTCTACCTCTCAAATAAATAAATAAATCTTTTTAAAAAATTGTCCAAGGAACTGATAATTAATATTTATATACTTGACCCAATAAAATTTTATGTGCTACTTTTGTAAACTTGTTTATAAACTATGTTCATAAGCATCATAATGTATCCTGCAACAATTAGAATAATTATTATTTTTACATGAAAATGAGTACTCACTCCCTCAGGCACAGGGTGCTTCAATAGAATGTGGTAGTTACTTAAAGATATTTGCACTCTGAAGTGCAAAGAAGACTCCACTGGAGGCAAATGGGGAAGGACTAAATGGCTATTTAGAGGGGAAGAGACCAAAGAGAGACATTGCCAGAGGCCAGGTGGAAAATATCACTGCAGCCATTTGAGGAATGCAGCAGAATGAAGCTGGGAGTTATGTGAACAGTCTAATCTGGGACATTGCAGCTTGGAAAGCCAGTAGTGGGGCATGGCCCACTCACCTCCAGGGATGTAGTTCAAGGAAATTTTTTACTCAAATGTTCTATTCTCTTCCTCTTTCTGGGTCAGGTGGTGATCACATGATATCTGGTCAAGATCTGCATGTAGAGAATGCTGTTTTTAGTTAAGCAGAGGCTTGTCCTGGTGTCACCAAGGGTATCTGGCAGAAATAGGGCCAGCACCATGGTTCACTTGGTTAATCCTCTGCCTGCAGTGCTGGCATCCCATATGGGCACTGGGTTCTAGTCCCAGTTGTTCCTCTTCCAGTCCAGCTCTCTTTTGTGGCCCAGGAAGGCAGTGGTGGATGGCCCAAGTGCTTGGGCACCTGCACCTGCATGGGAGACCAGGAAGAAGCACCTGGCTCCTGGCTTTGGATCAGCACAGCACCAGCCATAGCAGCCATTTGGGGGGTGAACCAATGGAAGGAATACCTTTCTCTCTGTCTCTCTCTCTCTCACTGTCTGTAACTCTACCTGTCAAATAATTTAAAACAAAAAGGGCAAAAATAAAAGCCACAGGGCAAGACAGAGAGAAGTTCCTGCTCCTTGCTTGGAGAGAGTTCTGCTGGCCCCTACTTTTCTATAATCTTTTATTTTCCTTTCATTGCACACCATCACCTCTTCAACCTGCATATTTGCTGCATGGTTCACAGCAAGGGGCACCTGAACAGGGACCTGACGAGGAAGGATCACCTCAAACAAATGAAAATGAAAAGTTTAATGGAGAAGAAGGCTGCCCAAACATGCAGTCATGACCATAACTTTTGTGAATGGAGTTTATCTTTACCCAGAGTAATGGGGTAGGATTTAAAGATCAAGACTAAACAATATTGTAAAGTTTTAAAACAATTCTTGAAAGGGAGAGGAATCATTGTATCAGAAAAAGTTGTACAGGAATTTTAGTCAACAGTAATATTATATATTCCTAGATTTCCAAAGCATGAAACTGGATATCCAAGGGAAAACATTGGGGATATGTTTAAAAAGGAATAGAATTCACTTCTGATTTTTTTATGCAGTGGATGAAATGTGAAATCCAATGAATTAAAGAAATCCATATATAACTTGGAAGAAAAACATATCTGTGAAATAGAGATTTAGAAGAGAAACCAAAGAAAATATTATAACTAGAGAAGTTAATGTCAAATAAAAAATACAGTGGAATTCTTAACAACATACATGTAAAGCAGAATAAAAAGTATCTGAGTGGGAAGGTAAATCTTAGGAAATGTCATGGATGAGAGAAAAGGATGAAATTGTAAGTTAAAAACTTTTTGATGGGATACTATCAAATGACCCAACATAAATAGATCTTTGGATTTTCTGAAAGTATGGAAAGAGAGATTACATTGGAAGGTGTATTCAGTGAAGTAATTATGGAAAAGTCCCCTAACCTGGAGAAAGAAAGGGACACTCATGTACAGGAAGCACACAGAACTCCTAAGACACATGACCTAAAAAGATTTTCACCATGATACTTTGCAGTCAAACTTTCAACAGTAAAGCATTAATAAAAATTATAAAATGTACACAAGAGAAACATGATTACCTTCAGAAACATATCCAATTAGACACAGATGATTTCTCATCAGAAACTCTACAGGCTAGGAGAGAATGCAGAGATTGTCACCCCTGAATACTATGTCCTGCAAAGCTCTCATTTATGAATGAAGGTGAAAAAAAAAAAACTCTCCATAACAAACAGAAATTGAAAGAATATGTCATCAGGGGCTGGTGCTGTGGCATAGTGGGTAAAACCACCATCTGCAGTTCTAGCATCCCATATGGGTGTCAGTTCAAGTCTTGGCTGTTCCATTTCTAATCCAGCTCTCTGCTATGGGCCTGAAAAAGCAGCAGAAGATGGTTCAAGTCCTTGGACCCCTGCACCTGTGTGGGAGACCTGGAAGAAGCTCCTGGCTTCAGAATGGCTCAGCTGTAGCTGTTGAGGCCAACTGGGGAGTGAACCAGCAGATGGACAACCTCTCTCTCTGTACCTTTCCTTCTCTTTGTGTGTAACTCTCTTTTAAAGACACAAAGAAGGGTACTATGCAATAATTAAGGGATCAATTTAACAGGAAGACATGGATATAATAAACATCCAATATATACACCAATGCCAGAGCACCAGGCTATTTAAAATAATTTTTAATTGACATAAAGGGAAACATGGAGTCCAATAATGGAGGACTTCAACATCTAGTTTCATCAATCGACTGATCAACTTGATAGAAAACCAACAAAGAAATATCAGAGCTAATCAACACTATGGGCCAGGGCCAGTGCTGCGGTGCAGCAGGTTAACACCTCGGCATGAAGTGCCAGCATCCCATATGGGTGCCAGTTCTAGTCCCAGCTGCTCCTCTTCCAATCCAGCTCTCTTCTGTGGCCTGGGATAGCAGTAGAAGATGGCCCAAGTCCTTGGGCCCCTGCACCCAGCAGAAGCTCCTGGCTCCTGGCTTCAGATTGGCACAGCTCTGACCATTGCAGCCAATTGGGGAGTGAACCATCAGATGGAAGACTTCTCTCCCTCTGCCTCTCCTCTCTCTGTGTGTAATCCTGACTTTCAAATAAATAAATCTTAAAAAAAAAACACTGTGGATCAAATGGACTGAACAGATATCTACTGAATATCTCACAGTTGCAGAATACACATTATTTTCATCACTATGTGGAACCTTCTCTAGGATAGACCATATGCTAGGCCATAAAGCAAGTCTCAGCAAACCCAAATTATTGAAATCATACCATGTGTCCTTTCTGACCACAATGAGATAAAGCTAGAGATTTAGAATGTAAGAATCTCTAGAAAATATGCAAATATATGGAGACTGAATAACACAATATTGAATGATGAACAGTGATTCACAGAAGCAATCAAATGGGAAACCAAAGAATTCCTGGAAATGAATGAAGATGACACTACAACATGCAAAACTTATGAAATGGGGCCAGCACTGGGCTGTAGTGGGTAAAAGCTGTCGCCTGCAATGCCAGCACCCCATATGGGCACCAGTAAGAGTCCTGGCTGCTTGTTTTCTGATCCAGCTCTCTGCTGTGGCCTGGGAAAACAGTGGAAGATGATCCAAATCCTTGGTCCACTGCACCCACATTGGGGACCCAGAAGATGCTCCTGGCTTCTGGATTCAGATCAGCACATCTCCAGCCATTGTAGGCATCTGTGGGAGTGAACTAGCAGATGGAAGACCTCTCTCTCTGCCTTTCAAATTCATAAATAAATCTTAAAAATAAAAAAGAAAACAAGAAAGCAGAACTGAGATTCAAAAAACAATGATACAAAATTGAAAATAGATCTACCACATGACCTAGCAATCCTAGCCCTGAGAATTTACCCAAATGAAATGAAATTAGCATATGAATAGTCCATGTTTACTGAAACACAACAACCAAGATATGGAATCAACCCAGATGTCCTCAATTAATGACTGTATTAAGAAATTGGGGTACATATACA